GGCGTCCATTTCCTGCAGGTCAGTGTATTTTATACTTTTCCTTGCTGCCATATACTGCGCATATACTTAAAAAAAGTGTGACAACATCCTGATATAATCTTTTCGGAACATTGTCAATAATTGTCTTGATATTCGAAATCGTATCTTTATCAATACTGCAAATTTGTGCACTTGGTGCCTAACATTAGTCTACCGTACTCAAAAAATCTGAGCTGTATATTTTGGACCGACTCCAAATGATTTTGTAACGAAAGTGTATCCTATCACTTAGTGCTTGGCGTTTAGAATCCCGTATTATGAATCTAAAAAATTGGGTTGGTTTAAATTATATATAAGGGCCAATTCCTTTCCCGAGCTGGTCTTTGGTGCTTTAAGGTCATGATGCTCGGTCAGTATGCTTACGTAGGATAGACAAGTCATTCATTCGTAGATGGGCGCCAATAAGGTCAGTCACGCGTTGATACATTGCGGAGTGATTAAGGCGTTGTGTAATAGACATCGGAGACGGCATAGGCATAATATTTTGCGATTTCACCTCTGCACATTGTTCCTCTATTAATTTCCATCATTTCCAATCGTGACGCAAATAAAACCTGGCCGCAGAAAGACAAGCTTTTCTCGTTATTTTCTCTGTCGGTTATGTCACTGAAAAGCTTTTAGTGCTGGCGCCGCTGGTAAACTTATCATCGGGATGCAACATGTCAACACACAAAATCTTTGTATGGTAGAGCAGGGTTCTTTTGATGCCTGTCTAACCCAAGAAAATTTGAGTCTGAGTTACTAAAGCCAGACGTCAACGTGACTTACGACGTTACTCACTACGTCAATATCACGCCTCTTATATTATTTGGTCGGAGATTTCCAAAATGCTGATAGCTCAAACAAGTTGCCTTCTTTGCCTAAGCCGTGGCACGCAACAAAACGCACGTACTTGTGAGTTTCGAGTATAGCGCAATCAACGATTTGAAACATATTCAGCCTTTAGTGAATTGTCAGTGCCTTACAATCGGGTATCCTCTCAAGTAATGAATGTAGAAAAATAATTTATACCACTAACTAGACTTAATGAGCGTTGCGTGATTGTCAAAGAGCAAGACACAGTCACGTAACCCTTGTGCTGAGAAGATGGCAAAACCCGAAGTGAATATATTTAGGTCCTTAGTTCGCTACTCTGTGCCACCTCTAAGCCTGTCCTTCTAGATCCTTCTAGAAGCTTCTTAATGTAACCTTATCGATCTAGACCAATGAGCGACTACCATTATGTCCGTAATTAGCATCT